TATATACATATATATATGTATAAGCATATATATATATATATATATATATAGAAGCATAGATGTATATGAGATTGCGTTTAGTGGTTGTAAATAAATAAAAATAAACAAAAATTTGTTTGTTTTTTATCGAGAGTTAAAAATAAGCAGAGAAAATGTCTCTGCTTATCTCAGGTGTACGTACACCGCAATAATTATCATCAAGCGGTGTCTGCTGCTGCTCACAGAAGCAGCATCAGCAACAGCTGCTGCTGCTACTGCTGCTGCTGCTGCTGCTGCCTCTCTGACCCCGTGAATGTGCGTTTTTGCTGCTGCATTTGCATATTGCTGCTGCCGCTGCGTGCTGCTGCTGCTGATTGTTGCTGCTGCTGATTGTTGCTGCTGCTGATTGTTGCAGCAGCTGCTGCTGCTGCTTGCTGCTGCAGCAGCAGCAGCAACAGCAGCAGCATCTTTAATGCATATTATACATCAAGCATGGCTGTGCCTGCATCAAAGAGAAAAAGCAAGAAAATAAGATTAATATAAAACAAGCGGTGGTTGATGCTGCTAGTTGAGAAGTCTGTTGCGCGATAGAAAAGGAGAGGTACTTCAGGATATGCGCGGTGTATTGAAGGTTCTTCTGCTTCTCCTGCTGCTGCTGCTGCTGCTGCTGCTCCTGCTGCTGCTGCTGCGTCTGCTGCTGCTGCTGTACCCAATGAACCTGCAGGAGATCGGAACGTAGACGTTGCACCCATCATCATGCTCGCGGCTCTCGGCGCTGTTGCTGCTGCTGCTGCTGCTGGTACTGCTCCTGCTGCTGCTGCTGCTGCTGCTGCTCCCTTTAGGGGAGGAGAAGGATTAGGAAAGGAAGCAGCAGATGCAGCAGGAGAAGAGAGGGTTTGTTTGCTGCTGAAGGCGCGCAGGCAAACCTGAGGTGTACATACACCGCATGCAAAGAGAAGCAAACAACCCTCACGCAGCAGTCGCAGCAACTGCAGCAGATGCAGCAAATGCAGCAGCACATACAAATGACAGCGAGCAGCAGCAGCAGCAGCAACAGCGGCAGTGACAACAGCAACAGCTGCAGTGACAACAGCAACAGCAGCAGCAGCAAGACAAGCTGCAGCAGCAGCAACAATAACAGCATCATCAACAACAACACCGATAACAGCAGCAGCAGCAACAAGAACAGCAGCAACTGCAGCAGCAACGGCAGCAGCAGCAACAGCAACTGCAGCAGCAACAGCAGTCCTGTAGCAGGAAGCTGCGCAGATGTGCTTGTCTCACATTTGCGGGAAGAAGAGGCCTACAGCGGCTGAAGATGCTGAAGGAAAGACTCATATTGCTGCTGCTGCTGCTGTTGTTGCTGCTGCTGCTGCTGTTGCTGCTGCTGCTGCTAATTGTCTGTGTGTAGGCTCGGGTGTATGTGTTTGTTTTTTCTGTCTTTCTTCTCTTACTGAGATGCTCTTTAATTCAATTAATTATATTTAAACAGTTACAAACACGGCAGCAAACAAACCCAAGTGTTCTGCTGCTGCTGCTGCTGCATGCATGCAGCGGCTGCTGCTTGTGCTGCTAGCTGCTGCAACTGTCTTCTTCGCTACTTTTTCTTGTTTTGCTTAAATAATTATATTTATTTTATTTTATTTTATTTTATTTATTTGGTTTAGATGTTTATTTTATTGTTTGTTTTATATCGATGAGGGGTTTGTTATATGTGTGCGTTATTAGAATATCTGCTGATGCCTCTGTCCATATATTTATGTTTATTTATATAAAATTATTTATTTATTTATTTATTTGTGTGTTGAGGTTTATACTGTTTATTTAATTATTTATATATATGTATATGTATGCCTGCTTCTTTATTTCTTCATCATTTGTTTATTGTTGGTCTTAACTCTATTTTTTCTTTTTATTTCTTTGTACTCCGCTATTTTATTTCTTCTGCATATTTTATTCTCTCTCTCTCCCTCCATGCATGCATGCATGCAGGGATAGATATATGCATGCACACATGCATGGACGCATGCATGCACGGACAAAGATATGCATGCATGCATGCATGCACGGATAGATATATGCATGCATGCGTGCATGCAGTGATAGACATATCCATGCATGCATGCATGCATGCATGGATGCATGCATTTGCTCTTGTGGTGAGGTGTACGTACACCGCCGATATATTGTATTGTAATATTTGGTGTGTATAGGCACATACTTATATACACACTTTTTAAGAATTGAAAATGTTTAAAAATAAAATAAATAAAATAAAATATTTAAATGAGGCAGACGGAGCATGCAGCGAGGAGACAGCAGAGACAAACTTTGTCTCTTTAACAGCAGCATCTTGCTTTTCTTCTTCTTTACCTTTTAATGCGAGCATACTAAAAAAAAGAATTCCATTTAATAATAAATCTGCATGCAACGGTTGGGGCTGCATGCAAATATATCATTAACAAAAAAAATGCAGCATGCAGACCCCTCGTGCCTTTGAGCGGCGTAAACCCTAAACCCCAAACCCTAAACCCTAATCCCTAAACCCTACGCTTTAAGCGTCATGCCTAGAAAGACATCGTTGAGGGATGTAGGAGCGACAAAGATATGCATGCATGCAATCTTCTGGTTGCTGCTGGCTCTGCGAGGGTATATATGCTGCTTGTTGCTGCTGCAGCAGAGTTTGCTGCTGCTGCAGCAGAGTTTGCTGCTGCTACTGCTGCAGCAAACTCTCGGGCTTAGTTGAACCCCACCAGAAGCAAAAGAAGCAAAAAATATTATTTGTAATACAATGCCGCAGCCACGGCGACACAGAGCTGTCCGTACACCTCAAGCAGAAAGCTCTGTCTCCTTCCGCAGTAAAGCAGGCGCTGACGTGCAACAACACTGCATGCATGCATGCATACACATATGCATGCATGCATGCATAGAGGAACAAGCAGCATTGTTCGCATGCATGTATGCATGCATGCATGCGCACGTATGTGTGTTTGTATAGGTAGACGCGCACAAAAGAGTTGTTTTCGCATGCAGCGCCAGCTGAAGTGTACATGCAGCTGCCCCAGCTGTGGGGTGGGGCTTGCGTTCCTCTTGGGGCTGCTGCGCACGCATTGCATGCAGAGCCTGTTCAGACACGGCATGCATGCAAGCCCCGAAGTAAATACACCCTGTGAAAGAGAGGAGAGCGCATGCATGCATGCATGCATGCATGCATGCAAGAGAAAGCCCCAAAATCGCATGCCTTTGCCCTGCATCCACGGTATCAACTATATATATAAATATACCTAAATATATGTAAGTACATATATATTCATATATATGTTTACAAATAAAAAAGCCTCACCAAACGCATGCGCATGCAGCTGCATGCAGACACCACTGAATTCATTCGCATGCATGCAAGCATGCTTGCAGCTGTCTATACACCGTACTGCGCATGCATGCATGCATGCATGCACGATACGGTGAAGCAGAAGCCCCAACTATCCGAGCTGTCCCTGCAGCTCGTCTCCTCACATATATTGTTTATCTCCTGTGCTGCATCAGCGGCCCCCTAAACCCTAAACCCTAAACCCTAAACCCTAGGCCCTAGGCGCTAACCCGTAGCAAAACGTTTTCAAGAGAGTCAAAGGAGACAGTTGCAGCTCGTGGCGCTAGCGAAGTATTCCCTGCTGCTGTCTCCTGTCTCCTGCTGCTGTCCCCTGTCTCCTGCTGCTGTCTCCTTTCTCCTGCTGCTGTCTCCTCTCTCTTGCTGCTGTCTCCTGTCTCCTTTGGTCTTGTACACGGGCATAGCGGAGCGAAGTGTCTCCTTTATTATTGTGCAGCAGCACCATCAGAGACAGAAGAAGCAAATAAGAGAGCAACAAAAACAAACAAAAACAAACAAAAACAAACAATAATTAACAGCTCGTACCCCCTGCTTTTCTGTGGGGTTGCTGCCCGCAGGTGCCCCCGGATCGTCTCCACGATCCCCGTCGCGCAGGTGGTGGTCCACTGTCTGCTGCAGCCCCCCCCTTGCTGCTGCTGCTGCTGCTGCTGCTGCTGTGTTGATTGTCTCTTGCGGAGTACGAAGAGGTTTCATCTTCGCTGGTGGCAGCAGAAGACATTCCTGTCCCTCCTTCGCTCTGAACCCAACGGAGACTGTCTCTTCGGTGTCTCCTTTTAGCAGCAGCAGCAGCAGCAGCAGCAGCAGCAGCAGAGGTGTGCGTTACAGCTGCGTTGTGGGGTAGACGATGGAGACGGAGACCCCTTCTCCTGAGTCTCTTGTCTCCATATCGATTGCTTGCAGAGAGGGCTCTGCGTGCATGGTGTGTTCTGCTAACATGCTGCTGCTGCTGCTGTTGCTGTAGCAGCATTTGCTGCTCCTGCTGCTGCTCCTGCTGCTGCTCCTGCTGCTGCTCCTGCTGCTGCTGATGTTGTTGCTGCTGCTGGTCTTGGTGTTTATGTTGATGATATATTTTATGTTGTTTATAGCTGGAGGGACAGGTGTCTCCTTTGAATTCTGTCTCGGTGCATGCAGCTAAGCGAGGAGACAGTGCAATTCTTTTGTTTCCTGTTCTTAACTCTCTTAACGCATTACTACACGGGAAGTTAACTAAGGCTTCTAAGAACAATCTAACTTCATAAACATTATCTAGATGCAATATAGCAGATGTGTCTCTGTTTCTAGGAGACACAACAACAGGTAAGCCTGAAGGAAATTGACGAACTACTTTAAATGCATCTTCATCTGTTAAATCGTCTCCAACATATATTATCCCTAGCTAAACACAAACAAAGACAAGCAAACAATAAATAAATAAATAAATAAATAAATAGATATATATATATGTGGTAATTAAATAAACAAACAGACAGAGAAAGGAGAAACAAAGAAACATAACTATGTATGTTATACCTGACTAAACACAAACAAAGACAGAAACAAATAAATATATAAATATGAAAACAAATAACAGCAGCAGCAAGCAGCAGCAGCAGCAGCAGCATCTGGCAGCAGCAGCAGCAGCAACGTGAGCAGATTAAGCATCAAGAGCAGCATCAGCAGCGTCAGCAACAACAGCAGCATCAGGAGTAGCAGGAAGAGCAGCATAAGCAGCAGCATCAGCAGCAGCATCAGCAGCATCAGCAGCATCAGCAGCATCAGCAGCGGCAGCAAAAGCAGCAGCAAGGTCAGCATCAGCAGCATCAGCAGCATCAGAATAAGCAACAGCAAGATCAGCATCAGCAGCATCAGCAGCATCAGCGGCAGGAGCAGCAGCAGGATAAGCAGCAGCAAGATCAGCATCAGCAGCATCAGCAGCATCAGCAGCATCAGCAGCATCAGCAGCATGAGCAGCAGGAGCAGCAGCAGGATAAGCAGCAGCAAGAGGAGGGCGACTGAGTAAGAAGATGCATACATCTCTGCTGCTTCCGTTGAGGCCGAGTGCATGCAGAATCCAAGAGATAGCGCTGCCCTTGCCCCACTCTGCTGCTATCCGAATATCAAACAACTCTAAGCCTAAGCATTTCTTCAGCATAGGATAAGACAGCAGCACTTTGTCTACTGCTGCTTCTATCACCTCACGATACTCCGCGCAGTGTCTGTGCAGGTTCAGGTGTATACGCACCACCCCACAACAAGCAGCAACAAATATCAAATACTCAAACTGTCTCCTTCTACAGATATAAAAAACAATATAGATGGTTTACAGGGAATACAGACACACAATATATATCCTCACAGAACAGCAGCAGCAGCAGCAGCGACAACAACAGCAGCAGCAGCACTAGCAGCAGCAACAGCATCAGCAACAATAGCAGCAGCAGCAACAGCACCAGCAGCAGCAACAACAGCAACAGCAGCAACAGCAGCAACAACAGCAGCAGCAGCAACAACAGCAGCAGCAGTAACAGCAGCAGCAACAGCAGCAACAGCAGCAGGTGCACCTGTAATGTATGGAGACTGAGAAGTAGTTGTCTTCTACATAGAGACCCTTCACTGGGCCCACTTGAGCGAGGAGAGCAGCAACAGCAGAGCGGAGTGCGGAGACACTTGCCTCGCCGACCTGCGGATACACCGCAGAAACCAGCAGCAAAGTGTCTCCAAACAGCAGCAAAAGACACAGGAGACACCCGAAAGCGAAGGAGACACAATGAAGAGCAAAGCATGCAAGCCATTAACAACATCGAGACTAATAATAGTAAAAATTATTATTACTATTATTGATAATAATAGTAATAATAATAATAATTATTATTATTATTATTATTATAACAGAGAAGAGACAAAAGGAGACGCAACGAACCCAATAGACACAAAAGCAGCAGCAAGGGACAAAAAGGAGACAGAAGGAGACAGAAAGGAAGCGAAGGAGACAGAAGGAGACAAAAAGAGATGAGAGGAGACAGAAAGAAGAGGAGACAAAGTAAAGCAGAAGGAGACACAAAAAGGAGACGGACTGAGGGACATGTACAGTTAAAGAAAATAGAAGGAGATACCAAGAGGAGACAGAAGAAGACAAAAGGAGACAGACGGAGACAGCAAGAGAAGGCAGGAGGAGACAAAAGGAGACAGTAGGAGACAGCAAGAGACAATACGAGCATAGAAAAGGAGACGGCGTAAATATAAATAAAGAGGAGACAGCAGGGGGGTATAAGAGGAGACAAAAGGCGACATAACGCGGTAGAAAAGTAGACACAAGGAGGAGACAAAAGGAGACAGACGAGGAAGACAAAAGGAGACAAAAGAAGAAGACAAAAGGAGACAAAAGAAGAGGACATAAAGGGAGACAGGAGAAGACAAGAGGAGACAGACGAAGAGGACATAAAAGGAGACAGAAGAAGAAGACAAAAGGAGACAGATGAAGGAGACAAAAGGAGACAGATGAAGGAGACAAAAGGAGACAGACGAAGAGGACATGAAAGGCGACAGAGCAAGAGGACATAAAAGGAGTCAGAAGAAGAGGACATAAAAAGAGACAGAAGAAGAGGACATAAAAGGAGACAGAAGAAGAGGAGATAAAAGGAGACAGTTTCCACCTGATGTCTTAAGCAGAGACCGAAGCCTGCAGCATCAATATCAAAGCCGTGACTCGCCGCATACATCAACGCCCGCCGACCCGGGGCGTCTGCTAAGCCGACGAAAGAGCGAATGGTCTCCAAACGGCGTCCTGAAGGAGACAGCAGCAAGGAGGAGACAGCAGCAAGGAGGAGACAGCAGCAAGGAGGAGACAGCAGCAAGTAGGAGACAGCAGCAAGTAGGAAACAGCAGCAAGGAGGAGACAGCAGCAAGGAGGAGACAGCAGC